TGAAACGTTTCTGGCGAACGCTTGGAGAAGAAGCATGGGCCCTATCTTGAGCTCTTCTTCTCTGAAATGGATTCAAAGCCAGTTTGACACCATGATACCACGAGACTTTGATGAACAATTCCGGAAATTCGTGACAGATATGAGCCCGCAAAATAGACGAGCCCTAGCTGCGATCATTCGACTACTTGCTGAGCTACTTGATGCATCTGGAAATGACGGAGACCGCGGTGCTTTGACGATGGCATTTGCAGAAGTACTCACAGAAGACGGTGACCCCAGCCACCACGTCTCCCTTTTAGATCGATTGGTCGAAGACTTTGACAACCTCTTCGAAGAATTTATTCCTGGAGGTACCTCAGTGGAAGGAACACTGACCTGCGATCAATCGAAATCTCATGCCAGTGCCGGCTCAGTTGGTTCCAATTCTTCCTCTTTCCGGAAACGTTTTGGATTTGGCATGCACAGGGACACCTCGAAAAATGAAGGCGAGGGTAAAGTCGCAGCAATTCTTAGGACATTGAGCAAGAAGCAAAGCCCGGCTGGCTCAGAGCCCAATACACCCAAAGGGTCTCTGATGCGATCGAAGTCGACTGACGTGGACGCTCGTCTGGGTTTCCTTCGCCCTACATCTCGCGATCGTCCTACGTCCCGTGATCGTCCTACATCTCGTGACCGGCCTACATCTCGCGATCGTCCGTACCGTCCGTACGGGTTCGCATCCGAGGAGCAAATCTCAAGGCCGGGCACCGGGTACGAAAACCCGCCTTCTCTGTCTTCTTTCCGAGGTTTCTCTGAAGATGCCGTGGGAAGAACTCGCAGAAAACGAAGGAGTTCTCTTTCAGACTTACGACCACCCACATCATCCTCAGATGCATCCAGTATCTCTCCGACTCAACAACTCCGCCCGACGACCCCTTCCAGCCACCCGCGAGGGGAGGTGGTAACACCCACCAAGCAGTCTAGACCCCAGAGCAGTTACATACCAACATCACCCATGCGCGGTCAGTCACCAATGCGTGGTCAATCACCAATGCGTTCTAAGCCGCCAGCGAAATCCGGATCACCGACGCGACTAGGATCACCCATTCGCCGTCTGTCGCCACCCCGTCCCTCTACGCCGAGCAGAAAGGAGAACATTGATCCCAGGACTCCACAGGCGGAGCGTACAACCAAGTCAAAGGGTGGTGTCTCGGAATCGCCAGTGGAGGAGTCAAGGAGAAGATCCCACACGTCAGGCATTCCTCAGCGGACTCCGGGCCTTCGGGAGCGGCCAACCGTCAACGGTTCCGATACTAAGCGGCCACAATCTTCGTCTTCTTTGCAGAGACCGCACAAACCGCGGATGCAAAGCCCACAAAAGGTTGGTCACCTCTTATTTGTCTCGTTTATGACTTCACTGACATTACCCTTAGTTACGTGATCGTGTTCAACTAGAAAAGAAGACCCAAAAATCCACTCAATTGGGCCTGAAAGATGATCTCACAGAGCTTGGTAACGAATTGCGTTCCCTGAAACTCACGCCACCAAGGCAATCCAACGCAATGAACTTGGAGTTTGATTTTGACCGTGCAGACGCCAATCCATATTCTGCTACTACCGCATCCCTTGAAGCTCGCATGCGCAACCTTGAAGCCAGATTCGACACGCTTACCGGGGAATACAATGACCGCACAACTGCTCTCGAGCGAGACCTGGAGTCGTCGTTGATTCTTAGCGAGAAGCGCGTAAAGAAATTAGACGAGCTTTATCGCGAGGCAAGCGCCGAGAACGAGGCTCTCTATGATCGATTTAATACCGAGCTCAGCAAAATTGCAAAGGACGTCCGATCGGGCCACGCAGAAGATGCCTTGAAATCTCAACTGGCCAGTGCTCTGGACGAGATCGGTCGGGTGAAGAAGGAAAACTTCCGCTTGAAGCGAGAAGTTGGAGGTCTTCGAGCCCAGTCAGCTGCCACTGCACTGCTCAAGGCGAGCGAACAATGACTGAATATACAGCATCGATGGCTTGTCCCATCATACACATTCCTTTCCCACACCTGGACATCTTACTCAACCTGACACCTGTCACAATTATCTTTTCCTTTCGCCTTGTATTTTGATATCGCACAAGCCTCTTCTACTTTCCTTTGGACACCCTATTCATTTACACACATATCATGAGCCTTTCTTACTTGTATTCATTCCTATTTCTTGTCACCCTTCATACTGGCCTACCCGCACAGATAGCCATTGACCATGCATGCATAGCTCAGGAGATCAAGTTTTTACAGGGCTTGCTTTTTTTTGTTTGTCTAGGTGTTGTTGTCATGTATACTAAGCCTCCTCGGCATCTTTACCCACTGGCCAGCCCATCAGGCGCAGTGCCTCAGTGTCAATCATTTTGTACATCCACTGCCATTTCAGTTTCCACCGACTTCGTAGATGTCCCAATTCCACCTCGCCGAGAGAAGGATACTTGGTTGAATGGCCAGATAGCCGATAGTCCAAAGTCGGCAATGACAGCTGTTGCCAAACCTTCTGACCCGGAGGTTTCCCTGGCTTAGACACAATGCCTTCCCTTGATATCACAGGTAAAGTGAAACGCAGTTGAGCGGGCGCTTCAGCAGACAATACAGCTTTGAGGTGCTCAAAAGTCCCGGGCATTTTCTGTTCAGCAGCAGAATCCTTATTCGTTCGCCGCTGCGGCCTTGAATTAACCGCATCTTTGCGTATCCGTTCAATATCAAATTTATGGAACGGACGTATCGTAAGAGGAAGACTTATCAATTGATCCCCCCGTTCACTGGGATCACGGTCGAGCGGAACGAGACGAAGTCGCATCCAATACCGGTTATCCCACAAAACCCACGGCGTAAAACTGCCACCAGGCGAGACATTGATTTGCGTCACGGGATCACGATTTTTCATGAATGGTTGCCGGGATAACAACCAGATATTATCACCCCCGAGACGAGGATCTTGGGACATTCCAGGCGTCGTGGCTTCGTTCCCGAGACGCTGGAACAGAACACCTGCTACCGTGAAGGCTTTTGTTCTTTTCTGGTTATTGGATGTGATGCTTGCGTCACGGGGTTCATCTTGACCAGGGAACACGTTGGGAACTAGTGACTCATAGTTGCGTAGCGAGAAATGGCTATCGGGGAATGGAGAGACTAGTTCTGTGATGCGACGGAGAGCGATGGTCTGAATCTGTCGGGTTCGAGATGCTGATAATGTTGCTAGTTGGGGGTCCATGGATGCTGGGCTTGTGTTTTGGAATTGAATGACCACTGACCCTGCCTTGGGGTTGAAATCTAGGATTCGACATTGGGATGAGAGGAGGTAGTTGGAAAGCTCATTTGACTTCTGAAGGAGGTTTTGGCTTGAACGGATGAGGGAGAGGATTGATTCTGATTCCAGTGCACGGGGTAGGGAGTTTGAGGTGCGAAGGCTGCGGATGGCGTTCCGGGGAGTGAGGGTTGGGTCGAAATTTGTTGGGTCGGAGACGTAGGGAACATTGTTTTTGTGACAGGTCTCCAGAAGGCTTGCTTTGGTGAAAGAGAGTAGTGGCCGGCAGATGAATATGCCTGGGCTTGCCATGTTTACATTGGACGTGAGATTAGAGTAGAGTTTATCTTTCCTAGCGTTTGGATCGGGACGAGCGATAAACCCATGCTTCTGGTTATCGAATCGAACTTTAAGGTGCGGTTTTGTTGGTGATTTTGTAGGGATTGATGTGGTTGACCAGCTCTCAGAAGCCCCAAAGATACCATGGCATTCGGGGATTCGAGCGACTTCGGGGATGCCGCCAAGGCCTAAGCCATTTGCCCCAGCGGAGAGCCGCCAAATGGTGGTTTCAACGTTGTCATCTTGATGATGGCCTAAAAGCAACGTTTCAAGCTTGAATGTATGACAAGCTATGCCGAGGGCTTGGAAACGGAGTCGTCGAGCATGTGTCTCAAAGGCGGACGGGAGGGGACTTGATGCTCCAGACTTTGGCGAGGTCAATTGATTTTGACTTGAAGTAATTTCTGACCAGTCCAAACTGAGGATCTGTGTCTTTATATCTGTTTCAGAATGGTTAAATAATCTCCAAGAATATAAGTATTCCGACTTGGAACATACCCATATCACGAAGCCAGCTAGCAACCTTCTGTGCCTCAGCAGTGCTTTCTGGACGGGCACGATGATCTACCACGAAAGCAGTGACAGAAATGGCTCCAGCAACATCAGAAGAGCGTTCTAGTTGCTTGCATAGGTATGCCAGAGCCATGGAGTCGGCGCCGCCACTAACGGCGATTCCTACCAATTCACGCGTCAGGTATTATCCCTCAAGATACAAACAATAAATGTATAATTTTTCAATATTTAAAGCTTACCAAATCTCCGTGGAAGCTGCAGAGTGTCATTATCACCGGGTTTCTTTTCATATTTGGTGCTGCCATAATTGACGCGAGCTCGTCGTGATCCGGACCATGCTTGCTGGAAACAACGCTGGAACAGAAATGGCGAGATTGATATATTCCCAGCCATGTCTATTCTCCCTAGAATCAAACATAGGCTCTAAAATTCAATATCATCATCAACCTATAGATTACTTCACGCGCAGGAGAACCTCGGGGTGATATCGTCGGCTCGGCCAATCAATTTTTCCGAGAACGTGACCAGATGGCTTTCACGCGAATGTGTCCCCGAGGTTCTATCGATTATTATTTTGAATAATTAGGTGCCATTTTTGGGATATTTGAGAGGAAATACGTTAGTGCTCTGATGTTGACAGTAGTGTAAGGGGTGGTTGCTGAGTTCCATTTGTAACTCGCGTGATTCTATACATTGCGGTGAACCAACACTATTGCGCAGCAGGGCCTGCATATCAAAACGTTATAGATGAAAAGTCGTTTTGCGAATTTTGGGCCATTTCGCCTATACTTTACCTAGAACACCAATAAGGGGGAAATATCTTAAAAAGACTACCAAAAAGAAAAGAGGTCTCAAGGCCGCATAAGCGGGTGGTTTATATATCTAGATCTCAGAGCAATTAGGAAAAGCAGCCAGGTAAGCTCCCTCAATTTCTCGCCCCATACCTCCAACACCCTCAAAAATCACATCAGATTTCAGAGATCTGCCGAGAATTTCCACCCCATGTCGCAGCTCCTCCCTCAATCTCTCGGCATCAGCAATCTCTGACGCAGGAGTAGGGTTATTAAGCAGGTGGTAACAATCTCCAAGTCGATCCGTTGCTATAGAGGCACGCAGTCGGTGCAACAACATAAGAAGAGCGTAGCAGCTTTGTATCCCCGAGCAAGCAAAGTAAGGAATAGTTTTCGGATATGCTGTGGACCTAGAAGGGGCTGACCCAAGTGGATTCGGATACGGCAAATTGCGATATATTGTTGTTACCACGAGCGAAGACTTGAGACAGATAATCGAGGATTCTTGCTCGGTAAACGGGAATGAGATCTCGCAGTCTGTCACCCACTTGGGAGGAGACGTCTGGTGCGGGAAATCCACGCTGTTGATTGCTGCGAGATCACAGTACTTGTCAAGAAAAAGGGGGATGTCCATGAATGCCCGGAAACGGTGCAGTCGAGTACGAGCACTAGAAAGGTTAGTAAAATACATTTTGAGGTTGAAGATGAATCACTCACGCATGGATGAACATGCGACTGATCATCCACATGTTTTGAGCTACGGATGCCTCTGGCTCTTCATCAAAAGTGGTTAGTAGATGTCGGTCTGTTTCGCCTATCAAAGATACAAGATTCAAATCTAGCTTGCGTATTCGAGTGCCGAAATCGGAGAGAATGGCTGTCTCCTCTATACGTTCGATGTTCTGAACGATTTTGTGAGACTCGAAAAGAGCTTCTTGTGTTTTCATCATTATGGGCCATGGCTTGTGACATTTAGTAGGGGATAGAAGAAGTATGAAAGGGATTGGATATCTTACCTCCAGATATACGTCAAATTTGGGATAAGGGGTAGTTATTCGTGAGTCGTCCATAAAAACAATTGGTGGCTGGACATAAATCAGTCGAAATCCATTAATGGGCATATTCATATATTCTCTTACAGAAAGATGGAGGTTTGACGATAGATATGAGACCCAAATCTATAGAACCAGTGAGTAACAGCTCTGACAATAACATGTCTCTCTCACTAACTGTCATCCACCAAGTTCGTCTCTGTGCCTCAGAACACTCTGTTGTTGTGGAGTCAAGCCTATGAAGGGAGATATCCATAGCAGTTGTGATAGCCTGGTTACCTCGAGCCCGCATTCTAGATATATTACCACGCTGGCAATACTCATAAATGGCAAGGACCACAAGAGCCATAACCGGATGAAGCTGGGTTGGAACCTGTGGATGCAGAAAATTTCGTGCTCGACATGATTCTGCTTCAAACACATTAGTGCTCAAAGCCGGCGACAAATCGTCAGTCTCAGTTTCCACAGCCGTCAGCGCCGCCTGGGCAAATAGCTGCGCGTACGACCGCCTAAGCGCAAGGCTCGTTTCGGCAATTGGAAAAGTGTCTTCAGAAGTGGGTATAAGGACTAGCATTGCAGATAAGGCAAGAGTCAGAGATGATGTCGGCCAATAAGGCATGCGGGACTTTTTTGCTTGAGACATTTCGTCAGATGGCCTGATCACGGTATGGCGATCTTCGTGCTGCGGTGCCACTGGAGGTGGCAGCAAAGGTAAATATGGATGGATATAAATATAATAGGCATTGGCACTGTGTGTCCAATTAGCAATTGGTCATACCTCGAATAAGGTTTCTTTTGCACCAACATTTCCGCTTCGGACTGATAGGCGCGAATTGCCGATGACCCCCTATCGTGCATATGAACCGAGTCAAAGGAGCTATCATCATGTGGGGTGGGTTGACCCCAGATCTGCTGGGCTCCATCCACAATTGACAGAGAATCCGGGGAGAGGTCGAGATTGTGGATTCCAGCATATGGCGATACCAGACCGATCATGTTGTCAAGGAATGGTTCTGGTCATTGGTTAGATACTATGATGGCTTGTGATATTGGAACTTGAGCTACCAATTTCATTGGCAACATCTGACATTGAAGATGGCAGTGAGTTGCCTGCAGTTGGTTGTCGTTGCCTCTCATACTGGGCTCCTCTGCGAGGACCACCCCGGCGACTGGGTCGATAACTGCACTCTCTTTTTCTGTCAGAGCACTAGTCAATAAATTAGTCAATGAAATCCAAACTGAGTGGTTTAACATACATTGCCACAGGGATGTTGGCCGTCACAACGTGTTTTCGATGTTCGACTACAAAATATAAGTTCAAGGCAAGAATGAGAGGCCGAGAAGGTATGCAACGAACCATGCCAGACATGCAGCCTTCACCGGTGGTTTCGTAACACGAGGCATCGTCTAATTGTTTGAAAAATGCAGTTAGCAAATGAGTATATCGGCGTCGGGACATCACCAGTGCACGTGATATCTATACCCTGATCGAGTGATGGCGCTTTTGACGTAATAAGATCTACATACCTTGACCCAAGCGTTGCTTCTATTGCTTGAGAAGATCAATAGGCTGGTAAAAGTATACTTTGTCCAAGGAGAAGTTACTTTTGGGTTCGGCGTTTGATCTTTGGACCAAACACCGAGTCAACTTCCAAGGTCGTCATTGGTAGATGACACCCGCTATCGGTGATTGGCCAATATACTATGGAGACCTATATTATATGTTAACTAAGAATACATACATGTACATAGTGCATTGAGGATGAATTGTTAATATGAGTTAGAAAAACAATGTACATGTATCAATTTATTTGCAACAACTCTTCCCAACATTGGGTGCTTCAAAGGTATCCAGGCGACAAAAACAAGAAGATGTTACAGGCACATCAGCTACAGCAACCGCTATCGCCAACTGCGGTCCAATAATGCGCGCCTCATCATGCCGACCAAGACGTATCAAGCATTCATGGTAGCCCTGCAAAGCCCATACATTATTCGGATGCTGACGTGCACGGATAAGAGTGCTATCAAGGCCCAGGTCAGCCTGGTAGACAGCCGCTGCGTCCTCGACATGGCCCTGCTCTAGCAAAAGAGCAGCGTATGCATGGCGGGTAGGTTGCATCCAGCTCCAGGGTTCACTGTAACCCAGCCCATCATCCAATTCAATCGAGCGACGTAGATGCTCAAAAGCCTCCGTGTAGTTCCCACGACGGTACTCGATCTCTCCATCCAACATTTCCGACGCCACCCCCAGAATATCGATGCACTTGTTGGGCCAGTCCAAGCGCGTATCCGGGACCCGAGCCCGGGCTGCTCGGTACAGCTCTCGCTGACGCTCTGCATCCGGCACGTTCCCTGATGCTGCATATGCCACGCCCTTGGCGTAGTGCAGAACCGCTATCGTCATGCAGTACAGCTCTGGATCTGAAGGGATCTCAATCGCAATAAGCTCATCCCACATGCCGAAGCGTATCATGATGTGTGCACGCACAGACATGAAGACTTCAATGTAATCCGCCAGGGCCGAGAGCAGTTCTTTGGGCAAAGTCGCCTCCATGCGGTCCACAGCTTCGAATGCGGCCTTTTTCTGGCCCGCGAACATGGCTGCGTAGATGAGCGAGTGGTAGGTGTGCATACGGTAGACCGAGTAGAAATTAAAGGGGCCTTTCAGCGCCAGGTATTTCTCGTCTGCAATAGCGGCACGCTGGTTTGCGCGGACGGCACTTCGATAGTCTCCAACCAGCACGTCCAAATGGGATGGCATGTGAGTGATATGGCCGGCATCTGGAACAAGATCTCGGAGGTAGTCTGCCGGTCGGAGACCTAGTTCGGGGAAGGGCGACATCTCAATAAGATGAATGTACATGTGCAGAAGACCGGGGTGTTTAGAGGCATCCTTATGTTGAAGAGCTGTCTCTAGCACCCTCTTTGCTTCCATGGTACGCGTACCTGGGTTTGGTGCGCCGGTTACCTGATCCCACAACTTCCAGGGCGTGAGGCTGATCATGGAATCAGCGTACAGAGTGACCACGTCCAAATCATCACTAAAATTTTCATATGCCTCTTTCATTGCATCGGCATACGCAATATTTTGAATAGCATATTGCTCCATGCTAGCCGGCTTATCACTTTGATAGCGGGCGGAGATCGCCTTAGCGAGGGCCTGTTCCAGGGGGGAACCATTTTTTTTAGAGAGGAAACGAGCTTTGGTTGCAGCTCGATATGTGTTTTCAACCACGGCTGTCAAATCGTTGCCCAGAAAATCCCAAGGCTGGTTGTAGTTGGGACCAAAAGAATAGGCCAACCCCCAGTAGGCCATCACACATAATGGATCATGGACAAGTGCCTGTTTGAAACAGACGATGGATTCCTTATGGTTGAAAGAATATGCCCACACAAGACCACGGTCGAACCATATTTGGGCTTCAGGGCTCGTGGTTGTAATGACCTTCCCGTACGAGCCCAGGTTATATGGATACCCCTCCGTTGATGCTTTTGTCATATTTTTGGGGGGTGATATATAGGGTGAGTTGGCAACCGTATGATGTCGGGAAGGTGAAGAAGAAAGAGTGCGGGTTTAGGCGGGGTTCCCGCTACTTGTACCCAACGGCTTCGGACTTTTCACGACTCCATTTTATTTGATATTTTATGTTGACATGATAGATTTTGAACTTGGGGAACTAGTGAACTATTGAACAATTGTGAACTATACTGTATATACTGCATATTATTGGACCCCAGTTGGTATGCAAATGCCGATTAGGTTGTACTAGATTGTACTATTGTTTCGTAGACCTGCATCTATTACACAATGATATTTTATTTTATTTCTTTCACTTCTTCGACTGGTTCTTTAAATCTTATGGAGAAATATATAAAAAAAAAAGTAGATACAACTATACCGAGTAGACAAAACAGGGGTTGTAGTTCAGCCTCAAACATCCCAGTCCCTATTTTCCCCGTCGGATCAGCCCACACATTTTATATATCTCCATTATCTCCATTTTGGTCATCACATGTTGTCCCTAAAATAGGAAGTTCGTCTCCTTAATTTAAATACTCGAATTTGAGTTGTCATTCTCTCTTTTGAAACCATCTAGCGTTTGCGAAACTGCTCAATTTTCCTCCAAGGCTATATTTGCAGGGATATCTAGCCAAGGCCTCAATACAAGGTTAGACACGCTAGGCAATGGTACACAATTGTACGGGCGGACCTCCTCTATCTCTCTCTATATAATCGCAACAAAAGGGGCATCTGCAATCCTGCTGGGCTAAAAATTTCTTAAAACCATACTCCATACACATCTTGACTCATTGACACCCATGCCCACAGGCGATGGCGAAAAGGTTAGTCAGCATGAGCAGCCCCAGGGCTCTAGAATCATCCACCGGATCCGAGCAAATTGTCCTAATGACAGATCAAATTAGGAAATGGAATATCAATATCACACATTCCATAATGCTGCGAAATCAATGTGGAGAAAGATGGGTTATCCCAATTTTGTAGGAAATGCCTCACAGCGGAATATAGACTAACCTTTTTGGAATATAGCCCCAATGTGCTCCGTAGATCAAAGACGAGGCGGACTACACCAGAAAAAGCAAATTACCTATGTTACCTACCTAGGTAGGTGCCTAAGTAGCTGACTATTTCTTATTAAAGCCTAACGTACCCTGTACTCTGTACTCTGTAGAGTACTAGTATTAAAATGATCTCCAAGCCTATTGTTCTGAACCAATCAGAGTCAAGTTACACTTTACCCATCACCATTGATCTGCGGGTGGGATATAAGAAAAAATAAGCAAAATGTGACATGTCTGCATAAATGCGATAGGTATTCCTATTTGAGACATACTGCAGATCCGAGACATTCCAAGCTCGTTGGGCTCTAGGCAGACGTTTGAGAGTCTTTGTTTGCTACAGGAGTACTCCGTACGTATACGGAGTAATCTCTCCCCAGATCCTCGACCTTCCTCTTCTCTCTTCTTCGCCCCCAACTTACGGAGTAGACATTCCTATCTTCCAAACGCCAAGATACTTCCCAAACACCGGACATGGCACCGTCAGCTTCACTTGAGACATTTCTACTGCACTGCGGTACCTTCATTGGTGAACGACTCGAAGCAGCTCCCTTCCAGACCTTCCTCGTCTTGGCCTCTGTCTGGATTCTCTCTATTCCGGCTTTCGTGCTTCTGATAACCCGCTACTCATCCTTGTTTAATTCCAAGAATGCCAAACCTCAACTGCGATGTCGCTCGTGTGGGAGCACCGATGTTGGCGAGACCCTTGCGGGGCCCTCGATTCCAACGAAGAAGAAGAATTGAGTCACAGGGCGCAGAAAGTCACATGGGTTTCGGAGATAAGGGAGAAACATGAGTTCGTTGGTCACCATGTGTCAGCCCTAGACTAAGCAGTCTACTTTGGATTTACCGGTTAATGGCAATTGGTATTGGTCACTCTAATGCAGGCTTGATTTAGCTTGTTTCTGCCTTTTTCCAGGCTAAGCTAATTTAAGAATGAATTACATACCAAAAGCGGAACTTTCCGTTCACATCATGCAGGGGATCTAGGGTTCTGCTTCATGCTTCATGCTTCATGTTTTTACTTGCTTTGACGATGCTATGTTATGTTATGTTATGTTATGATTCTTCCTACCAACTATGTCTTGATTAGAAATAGGAAAGCGCAGTAGAGCAAGCTTTGCTTTACACAGTCAAGAACCTCCTTCATTGCCTTGCTTCCATTCCTTAACCTGCTGTCTATATACCACCAGGCCGTAAGCTTACATTGATCTACAAGCCACATTCAGCGCTATTATTCAAAATCCGGTTTATCCGCACATCACACGTGAAGGGAACACTGCCATGCTCAACGCCCCTCAACTAGTGCTAGTTGAATAGTCCAATCCCACAAAAGAAACTGTCTCATCTGCACGGGATACGATAATACTAAGCCATAACGGTGCCATGCATCTCCAACATGTGTGGATGTAACCTCATGCATGCTCAATTTTGAGCAAAAGCCCCCGAGCAGAAGAAATCGCCCACATAGACATTGCCTTCTTTGGCCATGGTAGTATCCTCGACCAGGTACATGTCTCACTGACTGCATGAGACCACATGTGACCACATGAACAGAAACCAAAACTATAAGAACCCCGAGGAAGAACGGCGGGAAGAGGACTTCCAACCAGAACAGACAAAGCAATCATCTTCAGGATCCTCCAGCATCCATCAAACCAAGCACTTCTTGCTCTCCAAGATGCTCTCAACCACCATCATCACCAGCCTGGTACTGGGTCTTTCCCAGCTAACAAGCGTCTCAGCACTGCCCTCAACCTCAAGCGCGTCAACAGGCTTCATCGTCAACCACGTAGCAGCCGACTACTTCCCCGACTCAAAAGCCGATCTCAGCGCCTTCGACGTCGACGTCCGCTTCGTGGGCTACTCCGCCGCAACAGAGGCCTGGCTTTCAAGCCTGGACCCACACTCCGCGAGCAGCGATGAAGAAAAAGCGCGAATGCTGACCGAAGCCGCCTACGCCAAGAAATACGACGAGAACGACCCCGACATGGCAGGCGACGTGGAATCTTTGCTTGCGCACGTTGCTGGAAACGTGACCGTCACCAACAAGGGCATTGAGAAGCGGTCGAGCTTCAAGACTAGTGCTGCGCATGCTGTGCTGTGGAGTGCGTGCGGCACTGTGTTCTCTTGTATCTCTGGTACGACTTGCACGTTTGATCAGCAGATTGGGAAGGCGCCGCGCAGTCATTGTGAGCAGCAGGGTGGTTCGAGCTGCTGTGTTAGTTGGTCGACTTATACTGTGCGGGCTGGGTTCTTCTCGAGTACTTGGACGGCTTGTAATCAGGAGGTGCAGGCAGAGCAGAAGAGGAGTGCTTCTTGTGAGGGATATGGGACTGGGGATCAGGGTGGTGATGTTTGCCTTAGTAACCGTGCTTCTGGATGTACCTAGATGAAGATTGGGAGAGTTGGATAGTTGGGGCTGAAGGGGGGAGGGGGGACTAGGGTTGGAAATGGTTGTTTGGGTGAGGGATCGGAAGATTCTCAGCTGGAGAGGGTTGTTGAGATAAAACACAGGGTGATTATTGCTCAAGGCTAGGGTCATGATTATCGTTATCCAAGTTTTGTACAGTCAAGCAATGCAATTGTTGCCCTTCTCCGAATCCTCGGGGCCATCATATCTAGCCGAGGCGAAGAACTGAGGTTCATTTTATAGAAGTAGGATGCATGAGGGAAATGGGTAGATGGTTAGTACGCCGGTTTCTCCTGGACCTCCGATTAGTGTAGCCAGCCAGTGGTCATGAACGGTATTTACAACAGAATAGGTCTTGAAGATCCATAAATTCGATTCTTTGCCAACGTTGCCGGTGTTGCCGTCAACACTAATACATGAGAATGCAAGCTGCAAGTTGCAGGTTGCGAGGCAAAGGCAAGGCCCAAAGCAATAGCCAAGTAAGCCAGATGCGCTAGCATCCATAAGAAGAGAAATAGTAGATGTCATAGGCATCAAAAAAAATCAAAATCAAAAATATCTCGACCATATGTACTAGAGATCCATGCATGTAGCATTGGCGTAGGCTGAATATCAAATGTGCCGTTCGAAGAAGAGGAAAAAGACGAAAAAGGTCCTAGAGGCTGGTGTAGTTCATTAGGTGATAGCAGAGCCTGCGACAGAGGCCGAGTTGGTCACGGAATGGATACTGCCGGGAGGTGCATGTGCGTTGCTATCCCCGTTCGAGATATGGGCTTCCTCCGCAAGGACAGGGTTCTCATCAATTCCCAGGAGAGACCGGGGCGGGTGAATCTCTTTCTTGCCGTTTGTTTTGTAGTGGAGAACCATGTCCCCCGAAGTGCGCCAGAGGTGCGTGCGAATAGTTGCCAGAGTCATGTTTGGTGAACAGAGCTAGCGGAAAACGATCCCGATTAGTATGACTGACTGTGTAAAATGAGAGAAAACCTTACCATCTTCTGGCAGTATAGCTCGAGGTACTCCTCTGGTGGCATAACAGATTCCGCTGGTTCGTCCGGGTTTGCAGGGTCAATGCGCTCTGCGACATAAGCAAGTACCTTCTTCGCTCGGAGCATACGGTTGGCATTGAGACGAGAGCCATTGTTATTAGTGTTCGGATTACCCGGAGGGGCACCGTTAGGAGCCGGCCTGGATGGATGACCAATATTAGTTTCATCAACAACACACATTCCACAGAAGATCAGAAACATACGGTTCGGGCTTGACGACTGGCGGCAAGGTCTCATCGAAGGGCTTCAACACAAAGGCGATCTTGACCTGCTCCTTGAAGGGGATTTGATTCTATAGCCAACCATCAGTAAGAGGAAAAGCAAAATATCAGTCGAAATTAAACTTACCTTCAGAAGAAGCTCACCAAGCCAATGAGGAATGGATTTATTGAGCCTTTCGAGGTCTTCGCCAATGCGTCCCACGCTACCTCTGTAGAGATCCGAGGCCACGGCAGTATCACCAGTTTCTTCCTGGATGAAGACTGCAGTCCGGGATGGAATCTCCAGTCGCGGAGTTTCATCCTCAGTACTAGGCAAAAGAGCCGTCTCCAACTCCCGATCTGGATTTGTAGCCAAGAATTCTTCATAATCATCACGTATGCGGTCAACCACGCCACAGAGGTTGGGCTCATACACCTTCTCTTCCTTGATGGAGGAGATCTCCGACTCTTCGACCTTTTCTTCCAATATCTGAGGCTTTGTGTCCGTAGAATTGCGACCTAACTTCTTGGGGAAATTCATTTGGAACTTCTTTCCAAATAGTGACTTCTTCCGCTCTTCCTTATCGGGTTCCGCGGGGGATTGAGGAACCCCTGAGTTTGAGGCTGCATCTGACGGAGACAGAAGAGACTTGTCGGTCTCTGTTTGTGGGGCCGCTAGAGGTCTTTTCGAGAAGTAGTCACTCGATGAGAAGGATGATGGTCCACCATCGGTGTGGGAATTTGTGGGCACTGAAGCATCAGGTGTGTCTGGTTCAAACCCTGGGAACGGAGAATTGCTCTGCATGGAAGTGCTCAAGTAGTTTGACGATGGCGTGCCAGAGTTGATGCCAAAGCCAACGTTCGGGCTAGCAGTGAAGTCTGAATTCGGACGTAGACTCGATCTTCGATTAGGATTCGATATAGGTATACCAACGCTGCGAGGGATATCATCGCCAGGTACCGATGTACTCGGCGGATTCAGTCGAGCATTTTCCTCGGCTCTCGCAATAGCAGCCTGGCGGTATTCGCTGTCTCGTCGGATTTCCTCGTCCACTACAGGAGCAAATAGCCAACGCAAAATCCATTTGCCGAGATTGACTGCATGTTGTTAGTAAGGCAAATAATATTCGCGAAGCTTGACAGCATAATAAAGGAAATAATCCAAGGAAAAGGAAACACACTTCTTTGGTCATCTCTAAACTGGTAGAGATTAGATGACGATAAATCGGTCTCGTCAGCATAAACTTCTGCGTCGAAGCAGCGATTGGGTTCCAGAATGACTGACAACCTGCCAGTACGCACGTCGATGGCACACCAATGTCCAATGCTATCAACAGTGTTTACCTCTGATTCAACGTCATCCATATGACGTTTGCCGAAGCTTTGGATGGGAATACACTAGGTTCATGTCAGTCGATGTCTTATACTTGTCCGCTGAGATGTGAGCAAATCACCTTCAACAAGTCCCAGAGAACAACTTCTCCTGCCGAGTCCTGTGTAAGTGTACGCCTCCGATCATTTAACATCAAGCACTTGATCAGGCCGTGTTGACCTTCAATTGTTTCCTCGGGCTGTGAATGAACCGGGATCGTTAAGCCAATAGTCTCCAAGTTGGGCTCCGAGAAATCCAGCTTAGGAGCCGAACCACCGAGAATTGATGTCGCTGATAACTGTAAAACAGCACTGGATGGAATTTTCTTGGGTCCCTTCTCTGAAGGGGTTGCAGGCACTGTAGCAGAGTCTATGGTAGGGGCTGGGTCGGGCGGTGGCTCGATTCCAACTGTAGTGTCAACATCTCGCCAGCGGTGGATGCTAGACTTCGGAGTAGCTGTCCAGATGTAGTCTCCCGCCGCGACAACTTTGACAACGCCCTCGTGCTCTTGTAGCGCGGCGACGGAAAGGCCCTGGTCGGGATCAGCCGACCCTCGCATGTCGGTCTTAGCTACCAAGCCAGATCGGTCACTTGAATAGAAGACGGAGAGATCAGGGTGGTCCGAGTAAAGAGACCACACGCTATCATTGTGCATAGTCAGGGTGTTCATGCATCGACCAGCCGTGAGAGACCAGATCTTGATCGTCTGGTCAGACGAACCCGTCATGATTGTATCGCCGGACTGGTTGATCATAATATCACGAATGTTGTCCGTATGGCCCACGAACTTGGTCACTAGCTTTCCGGACCTAGGATCCCATACTCGGACAACATTCTCAGGGCCACCGCTAGCGAGCACCGACGAGACAGCACCCAGCGCATAGACAGACCCTTTATCCGTGGAATCTTCTCCACCGGCATTGATGTTCAATACCTCTCCACCACCATTCAAATCCCAAAGGTAAACTTTTTGATCGAGACCACCCGAGGCAACCCAAGTAGCGTGGCTACCGGGGCTCGCTAGGGCCTTCACATAATCCGTATGTTTTCCAATGCGTTCCGGCACCTCAGTGGACTCAGAATGCGGGCGCCAGAGTCGCACGGTCGTGTCGGACGAGGCGGAAACGAGCGCGGAATTGTCCTGTGCCAAGACTATGTCGTTGATCCAATGACTATGGGCTTGAACCTGCGTTTTAAAGCCGGTCGGGCTAGGCTTTTTGTCAGGAGACGATGCACCTTTAGGGGCGGACGAGGAGGGGAGAGGAAAGTCGAGATCCCAGGAACAGATGACACCGTCGCGGCCCGCAGAGTATCTGGGAGAGGGGACGTCATATTAGTATCCGTGCAACCCACGTGTAAGGGAGCCTGGTTTCCGGGAGATCACGGTCGCAACCGTGGCAACCGTTCAGACCTAGATCCTAGATCCTGTAATAATAAGGGAGAAATACTTACAGGATGGAGTTTTGGCGATCGACAGTCAGGCCATTGATCCCCAACCGGTGCCCACCGGGGGCATCAGGCAGAGGGAGGACTAGTAGAGTGAGAGAGACAATCAGCGACCTGAGAGGAGACACACCGGATGCAACTTACCATAGGCGACCCTCTGGTGGCTCAGTTTTCGTGCCATACATGCAGCGTTGAAGGAGTGAAACCAATTGCGGAGATGCGAATGCGGAGCTTATCTGCCCTCGAGGCCGATCGCACGTTCAATTTTGGTGGGGAAGGTAAACGTCACAGGGCCATTCGCGTCAATCAAAAGCAGAAAAGAAGTCAAAAGATCAAGGGGGAAAAAAAGAAGCGAAGGGGAAATACTCAAATGAGGGGAAGTTCTCTAAAGTTGGAGGCGCCAGGGGCCGTCGGCGGCTGTTGGCTGTTTGGCTATTTATACGTTTATACTTCATTAACTATATTTAATAACATATATAACACAGATAGAATACAAATACAACCTGGGAATATTCGACCTAATCTAAGTAGAAATATAGAAAATAATACATGTAAGAATTACACAGGAAATCTTTGTATATTTATTTAATAGTCCGGGAACCTGTCCGTTTCCCTTTCTGGAATGCCTCTCGGTTATTTATGGCTATTCCATACTCTACATCGACCACCCTATAACACATATGTACATTCTTATAATATGAGATACAGATCTACAAGGTTCCTTATTTCCGAGAGAATTAATCTTTAACTCCATCAACGGGGCAGTGAACTGCGCCGAATGGCTTGATCACGAGGGAGGCATGAGACCCAACAAATTTGCGGTCCAAAGCCGCGTTCCACAGTCAGATGCTCCGCTCGTTCCAAGGTTCCATATGGAAGGAGACCTTAAGCTCATGCCAAAACCCTGATAGAGCAGCTTGGCTGCGTCGCCAAGATAGGCTCGATTTGGGGCTCTGAGAAGGCTGCAGTTCGCATCTTTTCGAAGAGCGTTTCACACTCCGAAGGTGTACGGCTCTTGATTTCTATGATTGCACATGCGATGAGACTCAGTTTGCACGCAAGGCAAACCCCGAAATGTAGGTTGCCATGTTGATGTCAACCCCGTTCATGGTGAACGAGAGGTTGGGAGATAGTTTGTTGTTGTCAAAGTCGGGCTTCTTGTATAGACATGCCATTCAAAGCGTACCTGGCTCCTTGCGACAGTACAACCCCGAATTGGGGGAAGAAGATTCGAGACTTGGCGGCTGCATATATAATCTTCCAAGAGGCCCTTGGACTCGACCTAGGCGCTTTCCATCGTAACCGAAGCCGCACGGTGCACCTCTGGCAAAGGGGGCGGGGTGGTACGTCACTATCCACGCGCACGAGGTAGGCCGGGAGCACAGGCGGGGATATAGCGCCGAGAAGCCCAAAGTGCGGATTGAGACGTTCGTTGTTGGGTCTGGTGTTGAGACCGGGGAGAGGGGGTAGTGCGTTGTTGAAGGGGTATTAAGTATAAAGCTTCTTTTGTGTTACCAGATGAGTCTAAGGGAAGGCTTTTACGGGGTTGTTGATTAGTGAGGTGGGTTTTATGCACATTATAGATCTATATATATCTTTCAAATGGGAGAAATGCTTTATGTAGTTCACCATGATTGTTGCCTCAGGCTTTGAGTTTGCAGATCATGATTTCCTGCGCAGAAGCGAGATGGAGGAGCTCCTGACTGCCCAGCAAGTTTAGGTTAAGCTGGATGCTTAACGAAGCAGTCCTAGAAAGGAAAGAAAATGACATATATAATTGCTAAAGAAACTCGCTTTCTAGAATCTATGCTCTTTGGATCTGCTATATACCAAAAATATACAAACCACAAGGCCAGAAAGAATCAAATCAAAGACCTTTCTCCGCCTGCACCTCCCGACGTCCCTCGAGAGTATTCGAAGCATACTGATAACTCCCAAGGAAAACAGCCCCACCAATACCAATCCACGTCACGCGCGGCGTAATACCACGCCAGAAAGCACCGGGACCTTCACGTGCAATCCCGCGCACAATCTCCTTAACACGAACAGGCGCATCAACGCCCCCGTCTCCACGGCGCGCAAGCATAACCCGCGTCTTGATCACGTCAAGCGGGGTCGTCAGACCAGCCGCAATGGCACCAGCAACACTACCGAACATGGCGCTTGTCGAAGCGGGGATCTGTGTCTCGGCGAGAGACGCGGCCGTCTCCTTGGTTCGCAGATACCGCTTGCCGTAGGCTTCCTTCATCGACTCCCACATTGTGAACTGCAGCACAGTGAAGGGGATCTCGCGCGCGATTGTGATTCCGGCTCCGCGGTAGAGTTCGCGGAAGACCTGGCTGTAGCCGCGCTTCGCTGCTGGGGCCGAGGGCGATGTGGTTGTGCTTGTTGGGGCAGCGTGTCGCAGTGACAATATGTCCTTCAGCGCGAGGAGACTCGAACCGCCGAAGAGGCCGGCTTGGGCGCGTTGCTTGATTACTTCTGTTGGGACGCGGACGGCGCACGCGGCGATTTCGCCGAGGGAGGAGGCGAGAGAGTGGGTGAGGATTATGTGGGAACGGGATTGAGGGTTGGTCTTGCTGTTGGCGGGTTGGGGTGCGAGGAGGGTGCGCTTGACGCCATCATAGACGATGAAGAAGGAGGCGGCGGAGGGGGCAGAGCCAAAGAGGACGGATGGGAGGCCGGCGTAGATACCACGGAAGGTTTGGCGTAGGGAGACTCGGGTTTGGGGCGCGGTGTGGTCGCGTGCTTTTTGGAGTCGGGTTTTGATGGTGTCGAGCGGGTAGAGGGAGCAGTCAACGGTTAGGCCTGCAATTGCGCCGGACTATATTGTTGCAGAAGCTGTTAGAGGGATATTCCTGGGAAGAGCTTTGGGAAAGGTTACAATTAATGACCTCGTCCACAGGGAGGAGACCAGTGGCTCCCCGTCAGCTTGTTGGACCATCTTTGTGTAGAATTGAATATGGAAATCGTTTTTCTCACAAGCACATGGCCAACTGGGAAGTCGAGGACAGCAATGAAGTTGTACGGAAGCGGGCTAAATGGATAAGCTTCGCGGGTATAGTACAAGCTATGCAATGGAAGACGATGATATATTTAACTACCTGAGACTGGACTAAAAGACCTCGGGAGGGGCTTGGCCATGTGACTAAGCTTACTGACTACGAAAGAATGCCTGGCAGTTTCTTTTGGCCGAGGTCAGGCCATCCGATATCGCCGATCTTCGCTACATATGTATGTCAGGTTCAATCCAAGATAGTTCCAAGGTTGTAGTATGTTGTATGTTTGTATTCACATGTATCTACTGTTTAATAAAACAAAGCTCCCTTGCACAAGTGTGACGCCTTGATAAAAGAATGCCCTGACAAAAAGAAACACACTTCGACATCCCACACCGAGTCTTTCAGTCACATCCATCGTCGAGCCAGAGCCAATGGTCTCCGTTTTCTTCAAGATTTTGAGAAGCTCGAGCGCGATAAAATGTCAGAGAATTTTATTCAAGAATATCAACCCATCTCGAACATGGCCCGGGGAATGAGGAAACCGCCAAAATCATCTACCGTACTCGTAGGGAATCACACAGGAAACGCGAAAGGAAAGGGGACAAAAGTGCCACCCCGTTCTCAAGGATAAAGGGGATATATAGACACGAGGAGAAATTGATACAAAGAAGGGATATTATTTAGCTTTGGTAGCTTTGCTGGCGACGGCAGGACTTTGCGCGGGGGGCTCGAGGACATGGGTGTGGCCGGGGGCACTGATGGTTTCACCATTCTCGTCCTGTCGGCATGCGACGATGTTCCTTACCCAGTCATCCGACAGTACCTCGTCGAGTGTCGCGCGGTTTTTCGGGTTGGTCTTCAGCATGCGGCCAATGATGTACCGACTTTCCCGCGGCAAGATCCGGAGAAGTCGCCATGGGCCCTTGATGACTTCCTGGCGCTGCCCAGAATTCTGGGATGATGTCGGGACCGGTGGTGCCTCTTTGCTGGTTGTGCGGGTGGGCCGCTCATGGGGGCCGTTGCTGGTTTGGCTGATCTGCTTCTGAGCAGTATCGGGAGAGCGATCACCGTCCCTCTGCGAGGGCTCTGATTTGTTTGCGTCTCCGTTTTCATTTCCGTTTGGATTCTGCTCCGACCCAGACTGGTCGGAGGGTCCGCTCGAGCGAGGAGTCAGACGCTTATTGTCATGGCTTTGGGAAGGAAGATCAGGTGTCGACTTGGGCCGACGGTGTGGGTTGGGCTCGGCAACCGGGGTGCCCGGGGTCGGGCTGGAAACGAACAACTTGTATGAGTTGTCGGTCATCCGCGGTTGCTTCCACGGGAAGCGGCGCAAGGTCATACAGCAGAAGATGATCGCCAGCGACCAAACATCCGTGGGGCGGGGGTCGTATTTCTTTTCATCGTAGACCTCCGGAGCAAGATAGGGATCTGAGCCAACGATACCTGCTCATGCAAATCAGTAACCATCAACTAGGACCGAAAAATCATAATACAAGAATACATACCTGAAGCAGGGACAATGTCGTTCTCAAAAGGATAGCGGAATACGACGGCACTTCCAAAATCAATGAGTTTCATGATGCCACGGTCGTTCACCACCACGTTATCCAGCTTCAGATCTCGATGGGCCAAGCCCATGCCATGGATGTACGCCACACCGCTCAAAATCTGCTTGAAAGAGCAGGCAATCTCCTCCTTGCTCATTTTGCCCGTCATCACGATAGCAAACAGATCAAACGGTGCATATTCCATGACCTCATACCAGCGAGGGCCTTCTTGGATGATATCCAAAGTCTCGATGATATTGCCATGGTGCAAGGTGGAGCCAATACAGAACTCTGCTGTCACCTTCTTGGAATATTCCTTCAAGCTCTCCCAGTTATGACGGTCTCGGAATTGCTTCACTGCAAAAGTGACGCCGTCACTATTGCGCTTCAAAAGACGCACGGAACCACCAGCTCCAGATCCGAGCACCCTGCCCAGCTTTCCATACTTGGAATTCAGGCCATGATCATCGGCAAAAGGAACGTTATCTGGAGCCATTTGATACGGAGTGGATTTTCCAGATGATCGACTCGACTTCTTAGGCATGGACGTCGGGGACTCAGATCGCTTGTTGCGATGGCCCATCTTGAAGAATCGTTTCAGCTCAGACATGGAGCCATGATGTTGGTGGCCATGGTTCTTGTCGCCTTGCTCCTTCTTGGCACTTCCAAATATGCTCCGCTTATCGCTAGATTTGCTGAGGTCACTTGCGCTGGTGGATCGGGGAGCGCCCGGACGGAATGAGCGTTTGACATCCCGGCCACTGAAGATAAATCGGGGATCCAACTGGGCAAGGTTTTTAGACTGCGGTGGTCGCTTGTGGCGGGCATATGGATCATTAGGTTCGCCAACAGGGGTCATAGCCCCCGGTGGGGTGAGAGACTCTTTTGGAGTGGAAGGGGGCTTTCTTCTTGGGAGCCACTGTCATTTCCTATGAAGAATTGCGCACGGTGCTTCGGTAGTTGAATAGAATGAGGAGCTCGATCTGAGCCTTCACTTATTCTAGTGGGCAGGTGATCGGTAGACAGGGGTCGAGAGGATGAGGCGGGTCGAGGAGTGCCATTCTTGTCGGTCGAACCGACTGGCGGCGAGGCTTCCGGGGTGAAATTGGTGTCTAGATGGGGTCGGCTGGTAGCTTTCAGGGAGGCGCTGTCGCTGATTCTGCCTTCGCGAGAATGGGTTGCAGCTGGGGTAAGAGGAGGTGACTGTACAGCAGAGACTGGAGGAGACGCATGCGGGGGAGGCAAATGCACCGGTGACATGGCCGCTACGATCACTCGACTCTCGAGAGCCAACCTGCGAGGATCCAAAGTTAGTATGTTGAGATTGCCACAGTTCACTGAGTCTCCGCTCAGACCCCAGCGCCGAACGAAGGGAAATGAATATCATTTTGAAGCATGAAGAGGCTGGAAAACTCGGAAGAATATCCGATGACAGATTAGAGAGAGTTATGACATACCCTGGAGGAAGGAAGAGACATTGGGTCAAAAGAGAAGTTGCGCAGGCGCGACTCCTGAAGCTGTGCGCCCTGCATACTCATGGCCAGCGACCGTAATTGTTCCTCGTCCGTAGGTAGCTTTTGCTCGTCTAACAGAGATTGTTGCGGTTGCTCTGGTACGGGGGACAATTCGGATTGGCCTGGTTCAATCTCCTCCGTGATGGAGGAAAAACGGACCTGGGTAGGCTGAGCTCTTGACTTGGCGTCGGCGTCACCGGGCTCCGGCGCCTGTCCGGGGATCTTGGCGGGGTTATGCATAGTTTGGGATCCTGAGAGGACAGACATGCGTCAGACGGTTGGCAGGAATTTGGGATACACCATCACAACCGATCAGCATGGCAGCCAAGACATACCTGAATCCATCGGGTGGGTGGGTGTTGAATCAGTCAGTTCAGACGTCATAGTCTTCGACGCCGGCTCGGAACGTGAGACACATGCCCCTCACAGTGGGAGCTTTGGAGGATTAGACAGTGAACTAAGAACCAGTTCAAATACTATCAAGGTCACCGAATTGGACGATTTCCCCCAAATCGAGTCTAAGAAGTCAAAAAGAGTGATGCGAGAGGCAAATCTTTTCCCTTTTTAACTTTTTTTTTCCTTCTCCCGCCGAATGCGATCAAGAGCCCGCGTTTGGTCAAGGATATCAGGAATCCGGGAATGCCGGGCCTGAATAAGAAGGATATGAGGATAGGAAAGGGTGGAAGAGTGGAAGAGATAAAGAAGTAAAATGAGAAAGCTGAGAAGAGGGGAGATGTGAGAACGTCTGGGGCCTTAGGCCAACTTGATTTTTGGGGGCGAGTGGGGGAGAGATTGTCCAGGCGATCAGTACTTTGACCTCATTTACTTTATCTTCTTTCTATTTCTTTTTTCTCTTTTTCTCTTTTTCTCTTTTTATTTTATTTTATTTTTTCTTATCAGAGGGAATATCTATCAAATATAGCCAAATATATTCAAAATTTACCCCAATTTACCTAGGAATACCTTACCTCATAAGGTCGGATGGTCGCGGAGAGTTGAAGGATGATGTCGACCTGTGCCGACTTCCCGGACCAGGACCCCTACGTACACTTCCAAGCTTACGGAGTACCCGTGTGGACGAGTGGACGGAGTGAACGGACGAGTGAACGTTACCCTATGCAGGTGTACATGATCTGGAACATTACTTGAATGGGTTTAGTCGATCTGCTGACCCCACTGGATTTCCCTTTTCTCCTTCTAATAACTTATATTCGTATTACTGCATCGGGGAACCATCTTTCTCCAGACTCCCCAGACTCTCCAGATTTCATGCCAAGTGAGATGTCTACGTGATACTGTGACACATTAATACATTCTTGGCCATGCCAAGGTCGGACTGAGTCATACACCAGCCATACGCCAAGTTCTCCGCTCCGCGGATATGTTGAAGTTGGTGACCTCATCTGTAGTCTTCCAGATTCCTTCTCTTGGGTGTCCAGTCATCACTGATAAAAAGGCCCACGGGTATTTAAAAATCGGAGGAGCGTCTCCCCGTTGGATGGTATGGTGGCATGTGATCACATATTAGTCTTATTTAAATCGCATTGCGGTGATTAGCCGGTTTATATTTGACTTCAACATGTCACTCTAGGTCACTCTAAGTACTCCCCCCTCCCCAAAGATTCAAGCAACTTTCAATGCGAAATATCTCTTGGATTGCGATCAAACAAATATGACATACAATTTGGAGAAAAAATAATAATAATCGGTATCGTACAACGGGAGGAAGAAGATGCCTCCAATTTCGCAGAAAACGCCCAGTAAAAGGTTCCAAATCAAAACAAGTAGGCCCCTGGGAGCACTACCGGAATGACCAATAATTATACAAGTTTATTGTCCTTGTGATCTTCAGGGGATGACCTGGATACCGATGGACTTGGCCTGGGATATGACACTCTTGCACAATCCTTCCAGGGACAAGCCTGATAACCGGGTCTCGGTGTGCTTGAGCTTGGCGATCTCGTAAACGTGCTTGAGGGAGATCTTGCCACAAACTTCGTGGCCAGGGTTCATGGCACCACGCAGGCGGTTCTTCCGGGGTTCGACATTGGCCGCGTTGAGTAGGAGGTAGGTGGTAGTCGGGGTGCGGAGTTCGAAGGAGAAGGATCGGTCAGGACGGACAGTGACACGCGCGGGGATGGGAACACCGGTGTTGATGTGAGCTGTGCGGGCATTGAATTCCTATAGTGAGGTAGTTAATATACATACATAATGACAGGTTTAAACCTGCGAACGTGTTGAAGGTAAAGGGTAAACAAAGACCAACCTTGCAAAAGTCCATGGACTTAACACCTTTACTTCCCAGAGCCGGACCAACAGGGGGACTGGGACTGGCCTGACCAGCTCCAACAATGAGCTTAACAAATTGATCCTTGGCCAATACGTTTCGTGCCATGATGAAGAATATGTCGAGATAGTTCCAAAAGGCCAAAAGCAAAGAGGTGAATTCGGAAGATTTGCAGATTTTCAGCCGACGACGCTGATTGGTCGAGGTGGGAAGCGAGCAAAAGCAGCCCAACGTCATAAGATGCACTCCTTTCTCTGCTTTTCGGGGGCTTCTTATGAGCCTTCGGATTCATTTTACTCCTTTTGATCTTGATATTCACAATACTCAGATCTACTTTCTATTCTCATCCGTTGAATCGATTATCTGGTGCATCTCTCTCTCATCCGGATAGTCCCATTGGCATCCGAACTAGAACTCTCTTGGGCCCCGCGTGTCGATCTTCCCTTCACCTCCCTTTTCCTCTTTCTTTCTTTCTTCTCCAGTTTTAATTTATTAATTCCAACCTTATCGAAATCATGAACTGGCTGAAGTCGACGTATGTTCCGAGTCCTTCTCTGCTGTGGTTATACTGACGGATTTTCATGCGGGCAGTCTCTCCGCCGTGGTGGGCACCGAGGAGCCTATCTATGGCCCGGAGGCTATCCAGTCTGTTGCGAAGCAAGCAGAGACAACTCCCTTCTCCCATGTGGACAAGGAGATCCTGCGCTGGCGCGCACACTCTTACACCAATGTCGAAACCCAGACCTTCTACATCATGGCCGACAACGGGACCCTGGTTTTCGTTCAGGTTATTTACAGCAACATCGTGTAAGGAGCTCTCAGAGCTTAAGGCTTATAGTCTGAACCCCAAACCTACAGCAGCTGACTCTGATTCTCGCTCCTGATTATAGTGGAATCCACACCACCGCCCAGTTCAACGTGAAGGTTTTCGACGTCAGCGGAAAAGGCGACAACAAATGGTTCTCGGATCCGCTCTCCAACTTCATGTTCGACGAGCAAATGCTCTCCTTCGGCGCCGACAACCTGTCGTTGACCCTGAATGAGGAGGGCAATTCTTACACCATCAAGTCTACCGTCAACAGCGGCGCCTTGGTCGACATTAAGTTCTCCCAGACCGCACCTGGTTTCGTCGTCGGCAAGGACGGAACCTCATACTTCGGAACCGACCCCAAGAACCCATGGGGCTCTATGCGCCACGCCTTCTGGCCCCGCTGCGCTGTTGAGGGTAGCATCACCACCAAGGATCAGACCTACGATCTCGGCGGTCGTGGTGTCTTCATCATGGCCTTGCAGGGCATGAAGCCTCACCACGCTGGTAAGAAGCCCTGTGCAGAAAAAGTCAAGAAAAACAACCCTATATTAACAAAAACATAGCCGCCCGCTGGAACTTCATCAACTTCCAGACCCCCACCTACTCCGCCATCATGATGGAGTACACCACTCCCCCCTCCTACGGCTCCACCACTGTCAACGTCGGTGGTATTGTCAAGGATGGCGAGGTGATCTACGCCGGCACAAGCAACAAAGCCACTCACACAGAAACTGGCCAGGACGAGGGCAGTGACTGGCCCGCCCCCAAGTCCATCAAGTGGGAGTGGAGCGGCAAGACAACCGGCGACAAGGAGCTCACAGCCGAGGTGAACGGCGCTCTCGGCTCGCGACTGGATCGCATCGACGTCATGGCCGAGGTGCCGGGCTTCATTAAGAGCATTGCTGGCAGTGTTGCCGGTACTCGGCCGTACATCTTCCAGGTATGCACACCACCTTTCCTACCATTTCTTGTTTATTGAAAAAAAAAAAAAAAAAAACAATCTGATCTAACAATCTTGCACAGTACTCGCCCCAGGAGAAGCTGTCATTCAAGCTGAAGCTCGGTGACGAGGAGATCACCGAGGAGGGAACTATGTTCTCCGAGTCTACCTTCATCTCGTAAAGGCCCCGCCTAACTCGCGTACATAGGACCTCATTCTTCCCTACGGGACCTGATTGTTGGCGTTCATTGTGATGATTTTCGTGATGCTACATTTATGTCTAGAGGATTGGCTTGACTACTTCTTTCCTTTCCCTTCATGCGGACCAGATAATCCACAGACTGTATACATGATACTTAATGCTATTTTGACTATAATCTGAAATCCTGTTAGTAGATAGCGAGGAGGTGGAGAGTACATCCGGGTTCATTGGGACTCGTAACATAATGATACATGTACATGTAGGATGCAACGAGGTAAAAGTTACAAGTGATTGTACAGGAAAGATCGGGCGTGTCCGGTGCTGATCCTCGGAATAAGTATACATAGAATGTACAAAGAAAGATGCAAAGGTGTATACAGTACAATTGAATTCAATACAAAAAATAGAAAGCCGCCAGCGGTGTTTATGTACTCATCCACCAACAGTAAAACAATAACACAATCCTTGTAGGAGCTTTGAGAGAAAAAAAACGTAAACAAAAACAAGTACAGATCAGTTATCAACCATCAACTGCTCCCCTTCATCAAGAAGAGTCGTAACCCGTGAGAGATCAGAAATCATCTTACGGCCATGGCCAACCAGCAAGAGTTTCTCGGCATTGGCAGGCAGACCCAGGTAGGTAGGAGGCTCACGCTCCGGCAGGTTGTTAACCCAGGCAACGAAGTCGCGCATGCTAGTGGTCTCAGGAAGTGTCAATAGACTGTCGTTCTCTACACCCGAGACGAGCTTGTAGCCGTCTTCGAAGGCGGCGGGTGTAAGGAAGCCATTGACAAGGTTTTCGAGCTGCTGGTAGTCTCCTGCATCGTCGATTTTACCACCGTACATCTCTGCGACGAGAGTGCGGATCATCTCCCATGGAATCTTCTGTGGAGCAACGTTGGAACGGCCTTGGGATACAGAATCGACCCAGTGGTCGATGATGTAGGCTGAGCATTCGTACTGAGGGAAGTGTTAGCATTTGTAAGAAGAATAAATGTATGGATGTAGGGTACTTACGTCGCTGTCGTTGAACTCCCAGAAGCCCTTCCATCCAAGACTTGGTGCATAGCGGAGTCTTTCCTGGACGACGGCGTGCAGGAAGCAGAGCAAGAGATAGACACGGGCCTTTTCGACGGGAGCCTTGCTGGCTCGCACATTCAGCGAAGAAAGAGAATCTTTCATGTTTGCACGCACACCCGCGGGCTGCTCGTACATCAGCACACGCGAGGCCCGGATCAAATTGACAGGGATCTTAGGGCTGGACTCCATGGACAAGAAGAGGCGGAATTCCTTGTGTGGCTTGAGAGAGTCCAGTCTCTTTTCAAGACTCTGCAGCCAAGCAGGGGCCAGGTGGACGTTCTTGACCAGCACCCAGTTACCGACTGCAGCTGCATTGCTGATGGCCTTGTCCGCGCTTTCGAGACCTTCGTTGGAACCCATGGCGATGTTGGCGCAGGTTGCGCGTGTGGCTTCGACAAGAGCATCGACCTTATAACTGGCATCGAAGCCAGGGCTGGAGCTGAGTGCAATGGGTCTGGTTGCAGTAACTTGGTCAACTACATCCTTGAGGTCGGCACCGCCCTCGAAGAGCTCGCGGCCGAACACCGCCTCGATGAAACGCTCGGCGGAGGGCACGAATCGGTCCATGCGGCAAATCTTGACAAGGAGCAAGGACCGAAGGAGCTGGTCGAGTTGCGACACACTCTCGTCCCACATGACCGGAACGACGTTCTCGGCAAGCTCCTCGCCGAAGAAGCGATCCCACTGTTCTTCGGTGACATTCGAAATATGATCTTTGAAGAGGGACATGTTCGCCAACTTCGTCATCACTTGGTCGCGGGCGTCCACGGCAGTTGAAAGATCCGTGTCCTCCACTGTCTCATCAAGGACGCGATCGAGAATGGTCCTGTCCATTGGGTATGGAGTAGCCTGAGCAAGCAAGATGGCAAGGGTAATGCGATCCTTTTGAACGAGACCCAGCGAGGTTCGCTGGTAGGTGTTGATAAATAAGTCCCTAACAATAATCTGGACACGTGCAGAGTGATCCTTCTCCTGAGCAAGACGTTTGTTTTGGTAGAGAACAGAGTTGAAAATATCGACAAAGTACTGCAGAGAGAACTGGTAGAAGTGGTTGATGTGGTGAAGCTGCTCCAAAACCGCAAAGACTGCACTGCATGAACGAGCAATGATGCTGTAGTTCTGCGTAACGTTATCGACCTCAAGCATAACGCCTTCGGTCTGGTCCATTTTCAGAGAAATATCGGCAGCCTCCTTCTTGAGAGTCTCCAGAGTTTCAATGACATTGTCATCGTCAAGAATGTTACCACGGGACTCGTTGAGAGCTTGCAAAAGACGCTTCTCCAGTTGTCGAAGGTGGACCTTGAATTCTCCTTGCATCTTGACGAGATTGTTGCGACGCTCATCGACATCAGGTCGCTCGAATTTCAGGACATCGTTCAAAGACTGTGTTTGCAAGCTGCTCTGGGTGACAGTGAAGTTGACAAAGGTGGTACGACTGCAAATATCTGGCGGGAACGATGCAGATGGATCGCGAGTCGACAGGAAGAGCTTGAAGGATGGCGAGAAATCGATTTCTTGCTTGCCCAATTGAATGAGGACACGACCACCAGTCTTCTGGTATTCCTTGTTGAGGACGTGATTGAGAATAGGGTCCAGGTGCTCGGCATCCTGGATAAGGATGGGGTTTCCGAAACGCAAGGCACTCTCCAATTGCTTGACGAAGGAATCGTCCAAGAAGCTCGTGACAGTAAGCTTGCGTTCCTTGCTTTCCTTCTGCAAGAATTCTGTAATACGGCCAGATGGATCAACAATAAGGGGGTATCTGTTGAATCTCTTGAGGATGATGGCGTTCTCGGTACAAAGGTCATCGACGGGAAGAGAATGACTCTGCCAGGTCAGACGCTCATCGGCATTGGACAAGTATTCCGTGATGGGGTTGTGAGGCTTGTACTGAATGCCAGAGGCCCCCAGTTGGTGGACCCAGTCCTCAGCCATTGCCTTACGGAATTGCTGATCGTAAAGACCAGCATATGCAAGGAATGCAGCTGCAATGAGGACATCGCCAACAAGTGTGCCGATTTGAGTTTCGAATGACTTGCTTCCATCTTCCCAGCGCCCACGCTCAGAGGACAAACTATCAAGCAAACGAAC